ACCCCAGCTCCCAAGTAATGCCAGCCACAACAGTGTGAATTCCTCAGGGAGGTGCCAGTCTCATCCTCTTGTATCTCCCACGCTCCTCCGGCAAGCTAAGAAAATGTTTATCTCTCTGAGCCTGGCCTTCATCATTCCATTCCATCACAGTTAATCCTGCATTTCTGCCTTTTCCGTTTCAATACCCCAACAGTGCCAAGTATCAAGATGATTGGAAAAGGATATGTAAAAGTCAGCGTAAGATATTGTTCATCAGTTCCCCAGCTATACAGGAAACAGTAAAATGGTTGGATCTGAGCTGAGGAAAGGCTTAATTAAAGGTATAGGAGCCCCTGAATGGCTGCATACCATCTTATCAAAGTTAAGCTTTATTTTTACCTGAATTTTAAAAAAAGTCATGATTGATTTGGTCAGCAACATAAACAAATTCATAACAATGGAAGGATACTACAGAAAATACATCTCCATAAATTGGTAATGCTGTCATCTGGACATCTCCATGGCAAGTGAGCAAACAAAGGATGGCATGTTGGTAGTGCAAAGTCAAGGAGCCTCTGGCCCTCCAGATGTATGTGAACTACAACTCCCATCTACCCCAGCCACAAGGGAGAGGGGGTTGCTGAGAATTGTAGTTCTGCAACAACTGGTTCCCTGCAGTCAGAGGAAGCTTCTGTATGTTGGGGATTAGGGATCAGCTCTGGTGATCTTCTAGGATCCAACCCAGAGGTGTTGAGATTAAGCTGTGGGGTGGAGCCACTGCTGGCTTTGGGTAGCTTCAGTTTCAGTTCAATTTCTCTCTTCTGCGGCCTTGCTATGCAGTGACGTTGGCTGACTCGGACTGCAATCCAAGAGGCAAAGTCCAGGAGTTTCTCATTAACCAGGAATGAAAGTGGCTGGCTCGATCCAGCTGCAGAGATGCTGGGGAACAGGAAGGGGGAATGGAGGTAGCGTCAGAATAAACCAGATGTTCTGGAAGACAGATGGGCAGGTCAAACTGAGCGGGCGGTGGCTTCTGTTGGAAGAGATGTCTTCAATCCTTGCCAGCTCAGTGGCCCCGATTGGATTCCTCAGTTTCCATTGAAGGGGTGCAGTTTTCACCATGAAGTTGCAACAGGAGCTGTGTTTTCCAGCAAGGCTGGACTTTCTGTGTCCAAAGGTGATCTGGACTCTTCCAGACCCAATATTTTCCCTTCCCACAAAACTGAAAACCAGATTCTGAACTGGGGAGAGAGACTTTCCCTCCAATCTGAGAAGTGTTAGAAACAGTGGCTAGCTAGATTAGAGGCCAGCCACTGGCACCGCCCTGCCCCATAACTTGGATGGCTGCAGCCAACCTGAACAAGTTTGTTTCTTTGATGATTTTCTTGAAATTTGGTGCCTTACTTGGTGCCCTTTGAGATGACTGCTTAGTTTTCCTAGGTAGAATCCAGCAATGTAACTTCCTGGGGGCTCGGTCCTTCTAAGCCAGTGTTTCTCAACCTTGGCAACTTTAAGATGTGTGGACTTCAACTCCCAGAA